ACTAGCTGAGTTAACCTAGTTTTGTTAAATATGCACCAGCCCAAACTTAAGATTTCCATTAGCAAAGAAAGGGAGAATAGATGTTGGTGGACTTAAAGCCATCTCTGCTATAAGTAAACTGATATGGAAATAATTTTAGCCAAACTGAGATGCCATTTTTACTAGTCCGCACGCTCACATCCGCCTTTTGTGGTCCAGCCAAACTCAGTGTATCAGGAACATCTTTATGGAGAATTGGCCTCAATGATGGTGAGTATGAGTAAGCCAAGTGGGAGGAGGAAGAAGAGGGGGAGGAGAGATAACATATTTAAAGTTTTTCCTGTGGGGAAGAGGTTGGTTGATTCAAGACCTATATAGCTGTAGTGAAATAAACAAAAACATTATGCAAAATGAGATAGTAGAGATAGGCAGGGGAAATCATAAAATATGTGTAGTTCTTGTTAAAGACCTTTGGATTTTATTGGAAATTCATTGAATACTTGTAGATGATGCCATATTAGTTAGGATTTGACAGGTACTTTAAACCAATGAAACAATGTAATGATATGCTCTATAAGTAAATGATATGCTTTTCATTTAATAAACGTTAAAGGTTACTGTTTTAATCTTCAAATAGAGATTTGTTAGAAAATTATTAAGAGAGAAGTGTTAATTTTGTTTCTTAATAAACTGAACTTTAGAAAGGTTAAAGAAGTGTGGAGATTTAATATCTAATTCATGTGATAACTGTAACATGATTCATGGAAGAATAAAAGGTTTCAACTTTATATCTTTGTTCTACAGATGATTTTTTGACACTTTAACTTTTATAAATATATGTAGTTTCTAGAGAACAGTTTAGTTATATGAAAGGAAATATTTAAAAAATATCTTAGGAGTGTTTTAGGTTGTGTAGATTATGTAAATATTATTTTAGAACAGTTATTTTTATCTTCACTTCTTTACCCTGATGTTTCTCTTTGTGATCATTAAAAGTAAAATAAAAATTTCTAGGTATAGCAGTTAATATATTTTTACTGCAAAAACATATCTAGAAATCACATCTAAAAGTTAAGTAAAAGAGGAAATCTGTCACTTCTCGGAAAAACTCAACCCCTTTATATGCTCTGCCTTCCTGGCTTACTCTCCTTTGGTATAATTACTTCATTACTTAGACTGTGTGCACATGGCTTATGCTCTTTTAACGTGTACCTGTTTGCTGCGTTTACTCATGTAATTCTGTCCTTTTATTCATAGTCGCTTTAGTGCTAAGAGGGTAAAAGTGGGAAATTGGTGGTAATATTATTCATGCTACAGTGAGTTCCCACTGTGCTAAAATCCAGGTTATAATTCTTCCCATGGATGACTGCTTGGAGGTCTGAATTCTCACTGAAAGGAATTTAAAACATTTGATACAAGCAATGAAGTGATGCTTATTTCTGAATTTTCTTTTCATTGTTTAACTTTTCATTTGTGATCTATCCTAATACTAAATTAGATTTTTAAAAAATGTATTTACAGAGTGTAAAGTCTCTAAAGACCGTAAGATAAAATGTCCTTTGTGAAGTAATCCTTAGCCATTGGAGGTTGAGGCTAGCTTACTTTCTTAAGAATAAAAAGATAAAACAATTGATATTTTTTCAATATTTATAGGATTATGTGATAATAGCCATATGACTAAGGTTCCAAATGCTTTTCTGAATTCAGAGTTATGGGTGAGTATAAGCCTTAGGATTTCATGGGAAGAGATACATTTATTTCATAACTAAACTTAGAAGTTTGGAAATTAAAGCAGAAAATGCTCTTTCCTAGACCAGGTATTAAAAAAGTACAGAACAGACACCATCATTTTTATAGATAAAAACTGCTAAGAGCTAATTAGCACTGCAAAGGGCATTGGTAACTGGTGATAATTTACTCCAGTGATGTAAAGACCAGAAACACAGCAAGATTGATGCAATCATTTTATATTATATTAATATCCTTATATCTAAAACTGATTTTTAAAAACAATTGTTTTCTTACAGACTCTTTTTGAGCATTCATTTGCACATGTAGAAACACTTAGCTGCCCTTCTGGTCTCTGAAAAACAGGAACAACTTCAGATGTACTGGCAATTGAAGTCCACTAGAGTAGATCAAGGAAAAATTCTTTTTATGTAATTTGTAAAAGTTGAAATAATGTAGAAAGAGGCAAAGGAGAAATATAATTATATTTCTTGCCAGGCAATTTTAGTTTAAAATCTGTATGAAATTAGATAGTATACTCATGTAGAATAACACTGTCCAAAAAAAAAAAAGTGAGCCACATATATGATTGTGTTTTCTTGTAGCCACATTAAATAATAAAATAAATAGGTGAAATTAATTTTAATGATATATTTTATTTAACCCTGTATATAAATATTGCTTCCAAATATAATCAATATAAAATTTATTGAGTTTTTTTTATTGTACTGAGTCTTCTAAATATAGTGTCTGTTTTACTCTTATGGCAAATCTCAGTTGAGACAAGTCAAATATCAAGTGCGTGCATGACTGATAGCTACCTTATTGGCTGGCATAGTTCTAGAACAAGTGCTTTCTTTTTTCTATTTTCTACACATCCACAGGGAGCTGAGGAGCTACCATTGACTAGTTTTGGAAGTGAAGGCTGCATTTTTATAATTTGGTTTGGAATGGCTTGTGGCAGTGTGTTTAATACTCCTGTATAACTCAAGCAACAATTATGTGGTCAAGGATTTGGTATAATGAAGGTTGAGGAATGGCTTGACTTGACTGTATTCTTAGTGAGCATACATGTTGTGATTGTCTGGAGAACATTGTCTTCTTGATTTATGGAGAACTGAGTTGTGAATTTCATGTTGTATTTTTAAAAAGTACACATTAAGGAATTTTCTTTTGCAGAGATGTAAGGGACATTTTAATTTTTTTATTTTCTAAAGTAAAAATCTTTTAAAAAACAACTACTTATGTATAATAATACTTTAAAAAGACTGGAATCATATTCCTTACATTATAATCTTTTGGGGTGTGTATGTAGTAATTAAATATGTATATTGACATTCACTCCCATTGTTATTGAAGGCATTTGAAACTTAAAAATAGCATAGAAGTTTCAGAATAAAGGATATTAACTTAGATTTATTTTTGTAATTATTATTGTTTGAATATGTGGGTTACCTAAAAATATGCATTTATTGAGGTTAGATTTTAATAATAAAAACCTCTCTTAAATGAATCCTGGTTTATGCACTTTGTGGGCTAAATGAATTAGGCTCTCAACTTTTATCTGAATCTATGGAGCTTGGATATAAATTGAAAAGATCACAGCTATGGGGAGAAGACCTACACTGCAAAGGCCTTTCTGCATAGATTATGAACATAACTCAATAATTTTTTCAAAAGTGTGGTTATAATTGGACCCAATGGGGGTCTGTTTCTTTGATCAGATCACAGTAACTGTGACTTTACACTGGAAAATGTCACTACTGTGAAGGTTTATCACCTGTAGAGCTGGTCTTTCCTCTGATGCTGTGTTCATTTCTCATTAGCATTATTCAAAGTTTAGTTGTTAATTAGGTTGACAGTTCAATTACAATCATCTACAAGTGAAGTCAGGGCTACTTGCATAAAGAAATAAAAATAACCCTTCTTGCATAGACATATGTGTGTATGTGTATATATGTGTGCATGTGTTTTTGTGTATATGTGTGCATGTGTATGTATGTGTGTATATGTTTGCATATATATGTATGCACATATATACATAAAAGGAAAAATGACACTATTTTGTTATATGATAGTTTCATAAGGCTAAGAATATGCTCTGTTAAGTGAGCATTCTTTCCAAAATTTGTCTTACCAGTTTTATTTCTAAATAAAACAGAATTGTTACACAACATGCTTCCATTTTAAGCATTGATGAATATATATGAGAACCAATATTTTTAAATGTATAGAATATAGTTTACTATTTTGTGTGAAACGAACTGGTACAGTGAATTGGATGCATAGGAACATTTTATATCTCCTCCTCCTTAAATAATAAGAGTTTTCATCAGGAGTATGATCTCACTTAAAATTCTGTTCATAAGTAATATGCATTTTCTAAAATACGTAACACTTGAAATTAAAAGATAGAAAAATGTATGAAAAATTAAAAGAAACTTAAATACCTTTTAAAAATAAGCAAATTTTTAGATAAATTTTTCTTTGATTTAGAAACTTTAGTGTTTTAATCTGATTACTGGTTCATGAGACAATGATATTGAACTCAAACCCATGTGGTAGTGGAAAAAACTGGACAGAACTAGGTTTAGATCCCAGCTTTGCCACTTATTAGCTACATAGTAAGGGCAAATGAATTCACATCTTTGTTCCTCTATTTCTTCATTCATAGATGGGAATATGAATGCTTTTCTTAGAACACTGTTGTGAATATTAAATGAGACAATGTATAACATTTGCATAAAATTCTCCACTCATGGTATAATTTCAGTAACTTTATCTCCTCTCCCCTCTTCTTTATCTCATAATGACAAAAACTATTCAACAAATGACTGGAAAATTATATATGCAAATGAGACTTCCAAAAATAAAATTAAATGGTAAGTGATCCTGGAGGACCTGTAACAAATAACCTTACATAGCAAAAACGAACAAAACCCAACCTGCTTCATCTCAAAACAAGTAGACACATGTTGTAATTGCTAAAAATCTGTAGAAATGTGGCTCACAAGCAGTTTATTGTAAAATAATTAAAGCTTATTTATGTCAAGAGGCCTTGGGAAAAAAAGAGAGCATAAACCAATTTGCATTAGCACGTTACTCTCCTCTCCTGCTTTCGTTTCAATTAACAGACCAGCAGGTGCTCTCTGCAGTTAAAAAGATAAGCTATCAAGGAGTAGGATGAATTTTTGGCTGACCTGAAGACACTGTGGTTTGCCTGCTGATTGGGTTCCTACCTCGCTGTACCAATTTCTGAGGTGTTAATTTAACTGTTCCTCTCTGTCATGCAGGTCTCGGCCTTGAAAAATAAACTGAAGAAGCAGTCTACAGCTACGGGTGATGGAGTAGCTAGGGCCTTTCTTAGAGCACAGGCTGCTTTGTTTGGATCCTACAGAGATGCACTGAGATACAAACCTGTAAGCGTTTTGTTTCATCACTGTTTTAATTTGCTTTTTTATGGTTCTTTGGAATGAGACAGAAAAAAAGAGACATCATTTTACTATTGCACCTTGAAAAAGTATCATGGAAATCTTTTAAGATCCAAAATACTATGTTTTAAAACATACATTTCATCTCCAATTTTTGACTTTTTATTTTTAGTTTTATTTAGTACTCTTCCATTAGTATTTCCCAGAGTATTTGTGTCACCTTCTTAATACTCTAGAAGTGGAATACTTACTCCTTAACTAATGAAAAAATTGTATTACTGTAGTTTTTTGGTTTTTTTTTTTTTTTTCTGAGATGGGGTCTCGCTCTGTCACCCAGGCTGGAGTGCAGTGGCCCGATCTCAGCTCACTGCAAGCTCCGCCTCCCGGGTTCATGCCATTCTCCTGCCTCAGCCTCCGTGTAGCTGGGACTACAGGCGCCCGCCACCGCGCCCAACTAATTTTTCGTATTTTTAGTAGAGATGGGGTTTCACCATGTTAGCCAGGATGGTCTCGATTTCCTGACCTTCTGATCCGCCCGTCTCGGCCTCCCAGAGTGCTGGGATTACAGGCATGAGCCACCGCGACCAGCCTGTATTACTGTATGTTAAAACACTTACCTGATCTTGTTAAGATCCTTAAGAAATTCATAAGACAATTGGGCTTATTAGATTAATGTGTTTAGAAATGACAGGTACAAAGTGATACTTAAGAAAAATAGAACTTGAAGGTTTTACAATATTTGGAAATTTGTTGTCTTTGTAATTCATGACCCTTTGCTAAGCTGGATTTATCTCTTTAGCATATCTTAGCTCATTTTCTCATTCTTTCTGTTTTAATACCCTAATTATTGTTGTGTAGAATTATAGCCAAGTTTTTAAGAGTATCCAAAAAGGTGCAAGTCAAAATACATTTGTTGGTTAGATTATGTTAGGCTGATTTTACAGAAATTATTAGACTATTCTTCCTTCACTGGGTGAGTAAGTTGTAAGAGATAAAAACATTGATTTAGTAATAAGAAGACCTGCTATCTAATAGGAGTTGTTACTGTGCTGCATAACCTTGACCCGTCTCCTTATTCTCTCTAGATTTTGATCACCGTATTTGTAAAATGAGAATTCTTATACCTTCCCGCTCTATCTTTCAAGGTGGTGTTAAACTCAGTTGTAAACTATGAAGCACTAAACAAATGTGAAGGGGTTATATCTTCTCTAAACTGACTTCTGAATTAGTGGTTCCCACTCAAGTGATCCTTATAGCTCTAAAAGGTCATCCAGTTATTGGAAGGATTCCTTAAATGCATGAGGAAATCAGCTGCTGTTTCTATAAGTGTGTTTGTCTAGTTTACATGCTAATCTTTTTGAGACATGTGTATATTTTTAAAGCATTATATAATTCATAGTACTCTACAGAATATACATATCTCACATGGGGGAGTCTTAAAAAATTGCTCATAGTTATAAGGGTCACATTCTTTAAAAGACTGGAAACCAATAATCTATGCTACAGTAGAGCATATTCATATTTCAATTGTTCAACATCAGTAAAAACATAAAAATGAGTTTGAAACACAAAATTAGTGATTGATTCTGGTTACGTCAAATTTTTAAAATAGGGATTGATTTCAAGTTTACAGTACAGGAACGAAAGTTAAAAATATCACTTTGCTTAAATTTTGACATGTTTAAGTACATATTCATCTTTATAAACTAAACGTCATTTTTATTTTAAAATTGTTGAGTACTTCAGATTTGAAGAAAGGAGCAAATTGAAGTGAGAAGATTTTCTCCAATGATTTAAACTATCAGTGTGTTGGGTACTGAGTGAAATTAATAAAATATCCCATCTTTAATATTAGTTACTATAGATTTCACTGTTTAATTTTATCACCCTTTAAGCTTCATTGAGCAGATAGGAGTATAAGATTTCAGTGACTAACTTTTTTAAAAAAACCATCGTGAAAGCCAGATTGTTATTATCTGTGAAAAATGTTTAATTTTGTCTTAGAGTATCTTTCTTGTTTATTGATCACATTTTGTTATAAATTTATTTGTTTAGTTGCCTACATTTTTTTCTTTTTACTTCTGATATTTTCTTGTTTTCATTTCTGCTGTTAGTATTTTTTAGGAGCTAAGTGGTAGTATTTTCATTTTCTATGCCTTTACATTTCTTCTGACTCAATCTTTGAATGAAAGCTTCCTTTTTAATGTATACTGAATGTATTTAGATGATTGTTTTCCATTTATTTTCACAAGAAATAGCTTTTAAGGAAAATTATTTCTTTTTGTGCATAAACTGCTTTTTCAACCATTATCTTTATAAATTGCTTATATCATAATTTATTAAAAGTATATTAATTTTTTGTTTTATAATTCTTTTGGTCATTGATATAATAGACCAATGTTTTCTCTCTTCACTTAGACCTTTTTTTAATATCAACCAAAAATATTTTATATCAATCAAATATATTTTGGTTGATATTTTAAAAAGGGCTAAGTGCAGAGAGAAGTTTCAAAAACATATTTAAGGAGTATCCTGTAGCTATTATAGTACAATTGGAAAAGAAAAGATTACTCAGTAGCTGTTAATAATATGAATTATTGGCCAGGTGTGGTGGCTCACGTCTGTAATCCCAGCACTTTGCACTCTGGGAGACCGAGATGGGCGGATCACAAGGTCAGGAGATCGAGACCATCCTGGTTAACACGGTGAAACCCCGTCTCTACTAAAAATACAAAAAAATTAGCCAGGCGTGGTGGTGGGTACCTGTAGTCCCAGCTACTCCGGAGGCTGAGGCAGGAGAATGGCATGAACCTGGGAGGTGGAGCTTGCAGTGAGCCGAGATGGCGCCACTGCACTCCAGCTTGGGCAACAGTGAGACTGGGTCTCAAAAAAAAAAAAAAAAAAGAATTATTTTACTAGACATTACTTTTTAAAATTTTATGATTGTTTATACACATAAAAATAAACTATGATTTCCCTTACTTTTAGCAGAATTAAACCTGTAGGGTAGACCAATGACTGATCAGTCTCAGGGGCCATCTCTTCACCTGGCATTCAAGGCCCTTACCATGGGCAGGCAGTCTGTTTTCCTTTTTTTCTAAACTTTGCCCTCACTTCAGAGAATTCTGCCTGTGACTTCAAATGTCCTAAGCTTCTCAGGCTTCCACACATTTACTTACAATGTTCTTTCTTCCTGGCAATGCTTTTCATCCTCACTTTTAATAGCCATCTAGTTCCTTCATGATCCTGGAAGCTGTAGTTTGTACTGACCCCTTCTTTCTCTGAATTAATTATACTTATTTTATTTAACACATTTCTTCAGCCTTATTTACATATTATTTGTTAATTACATTATTTTGACTGATATTCATAATTTTTGATCACTATGAAAACATTAACTGACCATTGAACACCCATTGGATGACAGGCATTGATAGGGTCTTTGGATAAGTGTTCTTGTTGAATTTTTACAAGCCTTCAAAATATTACCCTTTATATTTTAAAGATGAGGAAGATGATACTCACAGAATTTGAGTAAGCTCACTGTTTCTCTAGCTAGTGAATAGTGGGGCTTAGGTTTGAATCTGCTTTTTTCATGGTCCCTCTCTTGCTCTACTGTGATATATTTCTGTTCTACCTTGCCTCTGTTATGATATGATGCTTTTTTTTGAGATAGAGTCTCACTCTGTCTCCCAGGCTGGAGTGCAGTGGTGCAATCTTGGCTCACAGAAAGCTCCACCTCCCAGGTTCATGCCATTCTCCTGCTTCAGCCTCCCGAGTAGCTGAGACTACAGGTGTCCACCACCATGCCTGGCTAATTTTTGAATTTTTAGTAGAGACGGAGTTTCACCATGTTAGCCAGGATGGTCTTGATCACCTGACCTCGTGATCCACCCGTCTCGGCCCCAAAGTGCTGGGATTACAGGCATGAGCCACCACGCCCAGCCATGATACACTTCTTAAGATATGTTTCAAGGGTTCCAAGATGGCCAAATAGGAACAGCTCCAGTCTACATCTCCCAGCATGAGCAATGCAGAAGACGGCTGATTTCTGCATTTCCAACTGAGGTACTGGGTTCATCTCACTGGGGCTTGTGGGACAGTGGGGGCAGGACAGTGGGTGCAGCCCATGAGCATGAGTCGAAGCAGGGTGAGGCATCACCTCACCCGGGAAGCACAAGGGGCCAGGGAATTCCCCTTCCTAGACAAGGGAAGCTGTGACAGATGGCACCTGGAAAACTGGGTCACTCCCATCCTAATACTGTGCTTTTCCAATGGTGTTAGCAAACGACATACCAGGAGATTATATCCTGTGCCTGGCTCGGAGGGTCCCATGCCCACGGAGCCTTGCTCATTGCTAGCACAGCAGTCTGAGATACAACTGCAAGGCGGCAGTGAGGCTGAGAGAGGGGCACCCGCCATTGCTGAGGCTCTAGTAGGTAAACAAAGTGGCCAGGAAGCTTGAACTGGGTGGAGCCCACCGCAGCTCAAGGAGGCCTGCCTGTCTCTGTAGATTCAACATCTAGGGGCAAGGCATAGCTGAACAAAAGGCAGCAGAAACCTCTGCAGACTTAAATTTCCCTGTCTGACAGCTTTGAAGAGAGTAGTGGTTCTCCCAGCACGGAGTTTGAGATCTGAGAACGGACAGACTGCCTCCTCAAGTGGATCCCTGACCACCAAGTAGCCTAACTGGGAGGCACCACCCAGTAGGGGCAGACTGACATCTCACACGGCCGGGTACCCCACTGAGATGAAGCTTCCAGAGAAACGATCAGGCAGCAACATTTGATGTTCAGCAATATTCTCTGTTCTGCAGCCTCCGCTGCTGATACCCAGGCAAACAGGGTCTGGAGTAAACCTCCAGCAAACTCCAACAGTCCTGCAGCTGAGGGTCCTGACTGTTAGAAGGAAAACTAACTAACAGAAAGGTCATCCACACTAAAACCCCATCTGTATGTCACCATCATCAAAGACCAAAGGTAGATAAA